ACGAGATCTCATCTCTACAATAAATAAAAAAAATCAGCCTGGCGTGAGAACACGCGCCTGTAATTCTGGCTACTCGGAAGGCTGAGGCAGAAGGATCACCGACTCAGCAGTCAAGGCTGCGGTGGCAGGAGCGGCCACTGCACTCCAGTCTGGGCGACGGAGTGAGGCTCCAACTCAAAAAAAGAAAAAAAAAGGAAAGGAAAAGTCGCCCCAAATGGAACAGTGATGACAAGCAACGCGAGCAGGGTCGAATCCATTTGGGGCAGCTACGTATGGGTGGGGCAAGGGGTACGATGGTCGCAGGCAGCATCTGGTCAGCCTTTCAAATAGTGAAGGCTGTGGACCATGAAAGCAAAGCCCAAGCAGAGGAGACTGGCTCATGGCCCTGCCACCCTTCCACAGCCAGGAACCCAAGCAAATCCCCTGGAAGGCTGTTGGGAGCCCCTACGTGGTGGAGTCCACAGGCGTGTACCTCTCCCTAGAGGCAGCTTCCGTAAGTGGGGGAGAGATACCCAGGGCCGGCTGGTGGGCTATGGAGCCCAAAGCACCTGATACCTGTGCTTCCTCCCTAGGCACACATCTCAGCAGGTGCCCAGCGTGTGGTCATCTGTGCACCCTCGCCAGATGCACCGATGCTCGTCATGGGTGTGAACGAAAACAGCTATGACCCTGGCTCCATGAACATTGTCAGGTAATGGGGGGCAACATCCTGAAGTGAGTGGTGCCCGGAGGACATGCCAGCCTGTGGAAAGAAGGGGACAGACTTGTCTTCCCAACCCACTGCCACTAGATCCCCGGTGTTACTTTCACCAGCTGCTTCTCCTTCCCAAACTCTCAACAGCCATCGTGTTAACATTACCTGACTTTCCACTGGAAATGCATAGCTTAGCTGGGCTCGGTGGCTCAGCCTGTAATCCCGCGCTTTGGGAGGCTGAGGTGAGTGGACTGCCTGAGCCCGCGGGTTCGAGACCCGCCTGGGCAACTTGGCGAGACCTCATCGCTACAATAAAATTTTTTTAAAAGTCAGCTGGGCATGGTAGCACGTGCCTGTAATTCCGGCCACTTGGAAGGCTGAGGCGGAAGGATCGCTGGAGCCCAGCAGGTCGAGGCTGCAGTGGCCGAGAGCGGTCACTGCACTCCAATCTAGGTGACAGAGTGAGACTCCAACTCAAAAAAAAAGAAATGCATAGCTTCTGGAGAACGTGCTTGAGGGGCTTCCCCTGGTTGCACCTGCAGTGCCTCCTTGAGTCTGATGGCATCCCCACTGCTCCCTCTCACTCCCATCCTGACTTTTCACGAAACCAGGCCTGTGTGCAGGGGTAAGGGTGGAGGGGTGGCTCTGTGACTCATCTCACAGTGCCCTTGCACACCTGGGTTGTTTCAGTAACGCATCCTGCACCACCAACTGCCTGGCTCCCCTCGCCAAGGTCATCCATGAGCGATTTGGGATTGTAGAAGGGCTAATGGTGAGTGGGGATGTGGGGCTGGGGCAGGAGGGATGGCAGGGAAACCCAACCTCCTCTTCTCAGGCCTTGCTTAGTGTATGGAGTCAACAGGAAGGGACTGGTTTCAGGAGGGAACCGCCAATGAAGAAGACTTTTAAAACAGTGTACAACCTTCAAACAAGGCTGGACCCTGGCCTGAATGTGCCCCTCCTGTGGTTTGTGGGGTGGCCCTGCCAGCCTCCGTACCTAGGCCACTACCCCACTCCTGAAAAAAAGAGGAATGAGAACTTAGGAACAAAAAGGCCTCACCTTGGTCCTCTTCTTCCCCAAGACCACAGTCCATTCCTACACGGCCACCCAGAAGACAGTGGATGGACCATCAAAGAAAGCCTGGCGAGATGGCCGGGGTGCCCATCAGAACATCATCCCAGCCTCCACTGGGGCTGCCAAAGCCGTGGGCAAAGTCATCCCAGAGCTCAAAGGGTATGAGGACAGAAAGCTGCAACCAGGGTGGGGGCACACCCTGGGAGGACTGGATTGGCCCTCAATCCTTAAGGGGAAAGCAAGGGCCTGGTCAACCCTCAAGACAAGGGGGAGTGGAAGGAGACATCACTGAGTTCTGACTCCCACCTCTGATGTGGAATACTCCAGGAAGCTGACAGGAATGGCTTTCCGGGTACCAACCCCAGATGTGTCTGTTGTGGACCTGACCTGCCGCCTCGCCCAGCCTACCCCCTACTCGGCCATCAAGGAGGCTGTAAAAGCAGCAGCCAGGGGGCCCATGGCTGGCATCCTTGCCTACACCGAGGATGAGGTAGGGGCTAAGACCCTGGGAGGAACCTCCTGGGGAGGGAACATTGTTTCCACTTCCCAGAGAGCTGCTCTCAATGTGCTCAAGACTGAAACTGCAGGGCTGAGAAGGTAGATCTCCCCGTCTTAGGGCCTTTGCACTTGCTGCTCCTTTGGTCTGGAAAGCTTGCCCTCCAGGAGGCCACACAGTCTGTTCTCGCTTCCACCATACCTCTACTTCAATACCTCTCCTCAACAAGGCTCAAAAAGACGTTCTTTCAGTGGTCCCATTCCTCATCTGAAATTTCATTTCATAGTCACTGTTGGCCCCAGTAGTGCATGCATACCAAGAAAACAGGGATTTAGGGACTACCTTTTCACTTCTGTAGCTCCAGCCTGGCATACAGTAGTTACTCAATGCATGCTTAGTGAACAAGAGACAACAGCTGTCATTTTTTCAACAACTTCTCAGGGCCAGGCCATGGCCAGGTGCCTTCCCTATGAGGAGTGGGTGTCATGGTCAGAAATGCCATCTCTGTATGTCCACCTTGGTGCTGTCTCCCTACTTTTGCTCTTGCAGGTTCATTCATACAGCCACTAGGATCTTGTTTTAATGCAATCAGATCTTATCACCCCCACTGCTGAAACTCTCCTGTGGCCTTCCACCACACTAAAGTTAAAACCCTCAGGGCCTCTGTATCTGCAGCTCCTTCCACCTCAGACACTGTGCCCAGGGCCCAAGTCAGCCAGATCTTCCTAGTGATCCAGACCCAGGCTCATGGTCACCCCTCAGAGAGGCCCTCCATGCCGGCCCATTCCAAGTGCCTACATTATTCCTAAGCAGGGATGTTTGGGTGTTTGTGGTTTGTGTTCCTTGGCCAGTCCCCACAGGCTCAGCCTCCATCTGCCTTGGCCATGCTCTGTTCCCAGAAACTGGACACAGTAGGGCTACATCAAACATTATAGATGAATAGATGGGCAATGTGCCTAAGAGTCGGAGCCTGAACTCCTGGAGGTCCTTGCTCTGCTACACACTTATTTTTAAATTCTGACGCCCAGGTCGTCTCTACAGACTTCGTCAGTGATACCCACTCGTCCATCTTCGATGCTAAGGCTGGCATTGCGCTCAACGACAACTTCGTAAAGCTCATCTCCTGGTAAGGGGGAAAGGCTCAGAGAAGCCGGGGAGGGGGCGGCTGAGGGGTGGCCGGGAGGGACTCCCTTAACCTCCCCTTCCCTCCCTCCACAGGTACGACAACGAATATGGCTACAGTCACCGGGTGGTCGATCTCCTCCGATACATGTTCAGCCAAGACAAGTGAAGCGCAAAGGCCCCTCCTTTCCTCCCGGGTACTGCGCGGCCAGAACATGAACCTCCCGTTCCCGCACTTGGCTCCCCGAGGGAAGAAGGGCGCCGGCGCGGGACCCCTTCTGAAATAAAAACCGTGTGCTCAGAGCAGGAGTCCGTGTTCTCTGCCGCCGTCCCAGCGGGTTCAGATCCCTTATCCGAGCCCTGCTGCGCTCTGCGGAAAAGCCGGCCGCGGTGGTAGTGGGTGCAGCCGCCGCACCGCCGGAAGCCGGTCCCAACCGTACACAACCTGGGAGCTCTGGGAACCGGGGCGGGGCTCGGGCGCTCTGACGTCACTGGGCGCGACGCCCGGGGCCGGAACTACTACTACCAGAAGGCCGCGCGCGGGCCACC